TGGACTGCACTTTCAATGCATGTGGCTTCTGAGCCACCCCCGGACCAGACAGATAAATGGCTGGGTGAGATCCGGGAGAGGTGGGCGCAGGCCTGCGGCACAAATGACTTCCTGGAATTGCACGGGTCTATGAAGGCTCAGCCTTGTCTTTCCTGGTGGGTGTGAGACTAGTGAGAGGTGATGCTCGGTGCCTTGCACTCTAGATACATTCATGGAGGTTAGGTCCAGCCACACTTACTAGTCAGGATGGGCAAGGAGGGTGTCCCTAGCCTGTTTGTCAGAGGCTGGGAATGGGTGACAGGAGAGGGATCGCTTGAAGAGTCCCCGGTCTGTTCATTCCCTCTGGGGCACCTGGCGTTGGCCCCTGTTGGCAGACAGGACACTGGGCTACATGGATCTTTGGTCTGACCCTGTCTGGCCATTCTTATGGTCTTACAATCCACTGACCCTCTTCCAGAGGCAGGATCAGAATGGGGCCCACAAATAGGTTCCCTCTGTATTTCTAGAGCCTTCCAAATCTGAGGAACTCTGATTTATATCCGCAAGGATTTGCATCCACGGATGCAGATATCCGTGACTCATTTTTGCAGATACGGATGTGGATACAAATTTTGTATCCACTCAGCGCTCTACCTAGTCCTCCCCAGAAGCCGGACGAGAGTGGGAAGGAACTAACCCATGGTCCTGGTCTGTGTTCCCTCTCATTTTTTCCATCCATGTGCAGAATAAATTTTGGTATGTGCACCAAGGCATGTGCAGATGTGCACCACCAGTAGAAACACGTTACTGGCTCTGGGTACTCTGCAAGCTTAGCAACTCTCACAAGTTTGTCATGAGTCTAGCAATATTTTTCATAATTAATGACTCCTCTGGAGTCACGTGTGGATTCTCTGACACTCTTGACCTCCATTTAAAAAGAAGTAAACTCCGACCCTTCTGGCTGTAGAGAAAAGCTTTGAAACCTGAACCCAAGTACCCCCTAAAGGCTCTGCAGCACACATAAGCCCACCTGCTTTATTTTATTTCTAAAACCTCGTGATTTTTAAATCTGTCCCATAATTATGTTGACGTCTGACTGGGGTGAGACATGTGGTCCATCGGTTTGCAGTGAAGGCTTGTGGCGGGGGTGCTCGGAAAGTCTGGCCGAGTGACTATGCCGATCACAATGATCCAGTAGAAATAGTAAACTAATTTATTAATCATTTTTGCTATGTACAAGTTTAATGGAGAAATTGTATGAAACAATTAAAAAGAACGGGCTCTCTTTACAAACAGTAACGGCAGTGACAATGCAGGTAAGACCCAGGGTCGTCGTTGCTTGGCCGTGCTTTCGTCTGCAAGCACGGCTCCGTTTGTCATCCTGGGAGATACAAAAATACACCCTCTAAGGTGACAGCACTGAGACAGTAGCTAGGACAAGATACATGCCATGGGGAAGAGAGACAAAGAGAACACAGAGACACCGCTGTATCGCTGAGCAAAGAAGTCAACCCCGGAGGGAGGAGAAAACCACAGGGAAGGCAGACCAGGAAACCTGGTTTCCTTGCTGCTTCCTGGACCAGCCTTTAACCAGTGGGCTGGTGCTGAATCTGACAACCCTGGTCTACTTTACTGGAGCTGAACTGTAGATGGAGCTCCGTGTCCATGGCGGTAAACAGGCCAACTCTGAACTGGGATGGAAGGAGAAGTACCTGTCAGCTATTGACTTGGTACATCTGGGTTCTGTTCCCTGCTCTCCTCTGTACTCAATGGAGCACCTTGGTCAAGTCATGTGATGCTTCTGTGCCTCAGTTTTCCTGTCTGTAAAAGGAGGCATAACAACCCACGCGTGGGGAGAGGCTTAATTCACTCCAAATTTGTTAAGTATTTTGTGCCACCCCCACCCCAGGTGGAAGACGCTGGAGAAGTGCAAGGCATCAAAGCTGTAGGACCAAATTTCGATGCCTCTATTCATACAAAGTAGCAATTTACTTTAGCAGCAGTAAAGGAAGCAAAATGCAGCTCTTAGGTTTCATGTATGCTCTTATATTTCCATAGCTTCTAATAGCAACATCCATCTCCTAGCTCATAGGTTCCCAAACTGGGGGCTGTGCCCCCCTGGGGGGGGGCATGAAGAAATTCCAGGGGGGACGCAAGGCGACCCAGCCCCCGCTGTCAATTCCCCTCCTCCCCCAAGAAAGAGCCCGGTCAGTCCGGTAAAAATATCCAGAAAACACTGGTCATGTGAAATATCCGGTATTTTCTGTTTTTCCTGGCTCGGGTGTCTGCTGGAACATGTGCAGCTCGGGTTGGCTGGGGTGGAGGGAGGATGGAGCATCCCGGGCAGACTTCAAAATAGCCACCTTAAAAGGGAAATGCCTGCTCTGCTTTTAAAAGGGCAACCTTTTTTGGGGGGGAGGGTTAACAACTTTCCCCTTTTTTTTACACTGGTCCCAGGAATTAAAGGGCCCGTGACTGTTTTTTGGCCCCGGTCAGTCTTTTTTTTTTTGCTCAACAAGTTTAGCTGCTATTTTCTTGGGGGTGGGGTGGGGCATGAGGGTTTCTCAAAAAATCAAAAAGGGGCTTGATGCCGAAAAGTTTGGGAACCAATGTCCTAGCTAGACATTTCCTGGCAATTCATGGCCAGCTGGGTAAAGGGCTCGGGCTGGCGGGTGGGGCACATGGATCAGCATTCTCGTTGCACTCCCCATCAACATGTGGCCCAGGCTGGGGAAACCAATGATCCAACCAGCGGAACAAATTCGGTGATGAATCCTGCTCATGGGCCTCCTGAGGCATGTTGTGCATACGCTCAGAAAGTCTCCAAGATATATATAACAGCAAAAGCAGTTACCTGTCAGTTGTAGAACCTGTAGTAATGAGGCTAATTAAGTGGGCTGAATGTGTCCTAGTCATAGTTGTTTATGTGAAAATGTGGATGTTAAAGGCAGGAGGAATTGGCTTTGTAACACATTAACCAGTTTATGTCTGTATTCAAGCTGAGGGTAACTGTCAAATGTGTAGATGAAATTCAGTTCTGCAGTCACGCTCTGTAATTGGCTGGGGAAATTCCTTTGTAGAAGAATGGCTACTTTTAAATCCATGATTGCATGCTGTTCTATATATCTTGGATTCTGTTATTTCCACTCCAACTCATCTGATGAAGTGGGTCTTACTCATGAAACCTCATGACCCTAAATATTTTTGTTAGTCTGCAAGGTGCCCCAGGACTACTCATTTTTTTAAAGTTACAGACTAACATGGTGAACCCTCTGAGATTTTTTATTGATGTAGGTATGAGATATTTTATCCAAAGGATTTTTCTAAGGACAAACTGAAGCAACGCTCTCACAAACGAGTCAGGGCTAAACACAGGGAAGGGACCATGAAGCTGCTTTGTTCATTAGGCAGTAAATGAGATGCTGAACCAGCAGCCGTGGAGACTAGTCCTCTTTAACCACAGAGCAGGTACAGAACAGCAATAGCAATGCCTGCGCTCCTTAAACATGTATTAGACACTCCCAAAGTGCCCGGGATCCTGTCCTGGAGGGACACTTCTAGTGGTAGAGCTCATTTCCCATGGTCCAATCAGCCCTTGGTCTCTGAGGCTACCAGCTTGTGACTCTCCTGTGTGTATGTGAGCTGTCATCTGTTTCATGGCTGCTGAGTATTCTAGAGTCTCTAACAGTGTTCTGTCCCCTTCCTCTGCTCCACCATGCCTCTTCCACCTCCAGCACTGAAAAGATCCCTTTTGTGCTCGGAAACCCTGTGCCATAACTGTCTGGCTGTCGCAGCTATTATGTAGATATGCCCTAAATCTCCTGCAACTGATATGCATACATTATCAATTATCTGGCGGAACATCTACTAAGCGATGCTGCAGCTTCTGGATTAAGTCAGAGACTTAGGGCAGGTCTACACTTACCTGGAAGATTGGTGCTGTGGTGACTGATCCCCCGGGTTTGATTTAGCAGGTCTAGTAAAGACTTGCTAAATTGACCACCGATTGCTCTCTCATTGACTCCGGTACTCCACCAGAACAAGAAGCATAAGGGAAGTCTACAGGAGACTTTCTCCCATCGATCACCCCACAATGGAGGCCCCATGACAACATGACCAACATTACACTATTCAGGTGGTTGGCATTATGCACCTTAGGTCAACATTGCCCCGTAGCGTAGACCTGCCCAAAAGGTGGTTGCCGGCTGGGTTGAGGAAGGAGAGTAGTGAGCCAAGTGGACTCATGCAGAGAGGAGAGGGTTTCTCTGGCTTCCTGATGGAGAAAAGGGGTCTGCATTCCAGCTACAACCTAATCAGTGGATTGTGGTTACAACCCTGATCGAAGCTGTATTAACTAGATCCCTGTCACTGGACTAAACCCTTGACAAGTCCAAGGTTTAATCAGGTGTGGGGACACCAGTAGATCCCATCTATACTACTGCTTTATCCATGTTGAAACTGAGTGAGGGGATGGGTGCATCCCAACCATGTCCTCTGCCGAGGTTACAGGTGGACGATACCTGGAGCCATCTGAAGCGGGCTAAGTCTCAGAAGAGAGTTCAAGGAACTGAATGGGCAACGGGAATCAACTCCCCTCTCTGCCCATCCCCCACAGGGCTCAGTCATCATGATGGGGCAGAGCGCAGGAGGGGTTTCTGCAACCACTGGGAGTGTATGTTACACGTCCCTGGGTATGCCTGGGCTGCAGACAATGAGTCTATGACAGCCAGTCACAGAGCCTGGCTCTGTAACTCAAGCTGTAGCAGCTCTTGCTTCCCCGTTCAGGAGGTGCACGGTGCAGTGCCATCAGACTTGTGCGCCTGATGGCCCCTGCATGCTTGGTTTGCAGTTCATCAGTCGCCAGGGATGTTAATCCAGCACCTTTCACCTGAAGAAAATGCATTAACAATAAACCAAGTCCCCCATTTGGGGCCGGGAGAGAAGCAGGGGGTGGGTGGGT